TAAAAGATTGAGAGGTTTGGTTTGATGTGGGAATGTTTATGGGTTGGGACGAGTTTGGGTGAGATGCTGATTTGTAGGGGTTTTATTAGTAGGGTTGTTTTTTGGGAAGTTCTAGTATAAGGATTGGGAGGTTTGGTTTGATGTGAAAATGTTGATAGAGGTTGGATAGGGTTTAGAGACTAGGATATTGATTATTAGGTAATTCATAACTCCTAATATAGAGATTAATACGTTCCCTTAATCATTGATCTTAGTTGTGTATAATCTTTCTCTATTAATTCATTTATTCACTCTCGAAATGGTTTCTTAGTTCGAAGAAGTTCGTAACAATGTCACTCATAGAACGATATAATAATATCTGAGTTACATAACCCTTCAAATGCTATTCCTTACTAAAATTGATTATCAGGTAGACATTCATTTCAAAGATATTTTAGTTTCGATATTGAACATCCAGGTTAGACTAAAACAGGAAGCAAACGTATCAAATATCTTTCAATCAAAATCTAAAAATCCCATTCCCTTCGACATTTCACCTGTCAGATGAAACAATAACAAAATCGACAGTCAATTCATCGATCAAAACCGACGCTGCTCGCAGTATCAGCAGGTATCTGTACGCCAGTCAGTCGATTTCCGTAAGATCTGTAAATTAACCGAGCCAGACGCGTTTGACTCGCACGACGTTGACGGATGGTAGGCCAGGAGCCGCGGAGAAGAAGAAGATGGCGTCCGAAGGACACGTTTTCGAGCGAACGTTATTAGAATAGTAACGTTTCCTCCGCAACAGGAGAATTCCTTGTCCCTCGCTTTGTTCTCGTCCCGGCGTTCAAGCTTTCAGTGTTGCCTTTAATGCGAGTAGCCGTTGTCCTCGGCGAGGTCAAACGCTGCGCGAATTCAGATTCCGACGGCGGCCAGTGAATCCTCTTTCGGAGAGAAAGAAGGGAAACATCCGGGAATGATGCCGCTCCGCGCTTTCGGAAACTGGTTCAGCCTCGCACGCTCGCCAGCGTTTGAACACTCTGCCGAACAAAGGTGTACGATTTGTTTTCTTGATTAACCCTTTGACCGACCCGTGCTACGATCAACCCCTTGCCTTATGAAGCTTCTGAAGTGAACGCGATGAATGTGAATTTTTCATTTCATTTCATTGCGTTTTATTTGAGTTCCTTTGATTTCTGCTGATTTTACTTCTGTCCTTTTCGGTCTGATTTGCTTAACTTCGGCTAATTTTAGTTAATTTTACTTAATTCCGTTTCGTTCTGAGTTGCTTAACTTCTGTTAATTTTAGTTAATTTTACTTAATTCCGTTTCGTTCTGATTTACTTAACTTCAGTTAATTTTAGTTAATTTTACTTCATTCCGTTTCGTTCTAATGTGCTTAACTTCAGTTACTTTCATTTGAGTTCATTTATTTTCGGTTAACTTCAGCTAATTTCATTTCATTTGATTTCATTCAATTTCTGTTGATTTCATTAATATTTCTCGTGTCTCTCCTGTCATCGGTATAAAAATGATGTTTACTTCAAAAAGATAACTCGAAAATCCTTCTGATATCTACTATTCGCAAAATATCCCTCGTACGCAAAGCTATAGAAAAATTCATAAAGCAAAGAGTTAAGTAAACACGGTCGATCACTTGATCCATTTCTTCTTATCGTATCGGTTCGCATCAGTTGCCTCCGAGACCCTAATAGCTTCCATCGAACGATCCCCAGCATCTCGTTGGATATCATTCGAATGTCACCGAACGAGACTGAACTCACAGCAACGATAAAAAATGCTCGTTTGTACGATCACGATTGCACCTTGGACACTGCACCTGCGTTCTCTGGATGTTCACCAACATCAGTCGATCGTGTCGTTGATCAGGACAGCGGCTCGAACGATAATATTTGCTTTCGATCGATTTTGAACGGAGAAATCCGAGAACGAACGATTCGATAGACGTTTATACGTTTCTTTAATGTTTGAATCAGAAATTACCAAGAAGTTTCTATAATCTAAGTAGTAATTCGAATTTTTCTGGGTAAGTAATGTTGTAAACCGCATTAGTGATCAGCGACACAATCTGCTAGAAAGTTCCTTTTATCGGAACCGTGGAATCGTTCGCGAATAGACGCGACGCATTCAGAAGTATCAACGGTGTCGCGCGTTAAAACGCCTGTCTCTTGTGACCTACAGGCTAGATTGCTCGAGCTCGACACTCCTCGACGATTGGAGAATCTTCAGAAGCTGGAGGAACTGAAGAAACACCTGATGGATCTCGAGAAGCAGGTGAGTTCAGTGAAAGTTCGCGGGACAATTAGTCTTGGAGGTTGAGTCCTCGAAGTTTCAAGGTTCATCTTTAACGGCTGAGTCATCGATAGTTGAAAATTGGAGGTTAAATGCTGAATACTTGAAGCTTCGAGGTTCGTCTTTGAAGGCTGAGAGATCGAAGTTTCAAGGTTCGTCTTTGAAGGCTGAGAGTTCGAAGTTTCAAGGCTCATCTTTAAAAGCTGAGTCGTCGAAAATTGAAGGTTGAATCTTAAATGTCTTTGAAGCTCCAACACTCAGCATTAAAGATTGAGTTTTTGAAACATCAAGGTTCATCTTCAAAAGCTGGGTCTTTGAAGTTTCAAGATTTATCTTTAAAGGCTGAGTCTTCGAAACTTGAAAGTTGAATCTTAAGTGCTGAGTCTTTGAAGCTCCAATACTCAACATTAAAGACTGAATCTTTGAAACTTCTGAGATCAACCTTAAACACTGAGTCTTTGAAACTTGAAGACTCAATCTTTAATGTTGATCTCAGAACATTGTATTCCTCAACATATAAATGAACAAACTTATCATCTAAACCTCCACATTACAATCCTATATTTTCACATGTACCTCAGTTAATTCCTTTCCGCTCGCGTTATTCCAACTTTTCGCGGTGTTTCATTTATTTTCCCTTTACTTTCACTCATCCTCCCTGCGCGTCGGTGTATATACTCATACTTCCGGTTCCCAAACAGTAGATTTTCGCGTGTCGTTTTCGGAACGACCGAAAACTCTCGGTAAGATCAACACGAGCGATCCGTAAGCAACGGGAACTCGTTCGGACGACGCGCGTTCGTTTTCCCTGCGATTTAATTATACCGTCGAACTTCGCGCGGAGTTTTTCGAGCCGCGGTTTAATTAAGAAACTTCGAAATAAGCCGTCTCCTGGTCTTCCGGCGCCCTTTTCTCCCTCGAGCTACCGCCGACCGATCCGCGCAGGTTAAACCACCTCGTCCACCCCTCAATCTCTTTCTTTCGATCACCAACTTTAACAAAGGAATTACTTAACCGACAACTTTTTGCAAATTAATTTGTAAAAATCTAAGTCTGATAGAAAACTGCTGAGGTATATGATAAATTAAATATAATAAACGCCTTGACACTGGAACTACCGTACCAGTCAACAACTACCGTACCAGAAATTAGGTGGTGAGAGTCACCTCTCGAGTGCAAAAGGTTAAATGCTCGGTACTTCTAGTGTCAATCGTTGAATATTTGTAACTGAATTCGGCAAATCTAGGTATCATTCAGTTTCTTATAAATTATTAACAATAAAATAGTATTAATAAATACAGTTGTGAGATCATAGAAGAGATTAATGGATCTCCCAATAAAAAATCTTACGCGCAACGCTTCTCGTTCAAGTACGAGAAGGGCAAACCACTGGTGAACCTCGTGGACAACATGGTGAAGCTGGGTTCACTGTACAACCGGAACACTGCCAACGGGACCAGCAGCGTCACGGGATCGCGGCACGACCTCGTGCACGACAACTCCAGGGATCATCGGTTGGAGTTCAACCAGAAGGTGCAGGAGCAACGACTGCTGGCCGAGGAGCGACGAGACTGGGACAGGCTGAGTCCTGATCATGGACAGCTGCAGGTTAGACGTTTCTCGTGCTTCTTTCTCTTTGTCTATTATTATTATTGTTCGCATTAGAGATAGATAATTCGAAAGATAAATCTACGAAGTGCCTTTATTTTTATGCTTCTACTGTCGCTTCTTGGTTTCGTTTTGTCGATGGTTGCGACTTTCTAGTCTCGAGATTTGGAATTTGTAAGCAATTATGCTTCTATTGTTGCCTTTTTGATTTCCCATTCTTGTTAATTGTCCATGGTTGCGTGTTTCTAGTCTCGAGATTTGAAATTCGTAAGCAGTTACGCTTCTATTGTTATCTTCTCGGTTTCCTATTCCTGTTAATCGCCCATAGTTACAAGTTTCTAGCCCCGAGACTTGGAATTAATAAGCAGTTAACCCTCTGCACTCCAGAGGCGCCTCTCAGTCGCCGATCGACTTGACACAGCGAACTCGTGAAGTTCCATATTAAATATCAAACTTTGTCTGCTACATCGATACATGGAACATCGAAAAAGTAATTTTTCTACTTCTCATCAAGTCTACTTCAGAAACTATCTATCCCCGATAGAAACAAACTTATAGAGAAAGGATTAAATTTCCAAATCGTCTTATTCTTGTACGTCTCTTATCTTATCCTTTCGTGCTTCCCCAAAATTTAAATATATTATTCACAAAATCAGAATATTACTAAGTAGAAAAGTTTATTATATTATTCATACAATCAGAATATTGCTAAGTAGAAAACTAATGAAAAATAATTACTGATCTAAGAAACCTGGAAAGATTAGCTCGAATTCAACAAACACGGTTACTATTTTGATAAGAAACCCTGAATACAGTTCTTTCTCCTTCTCGTTCTGTCTCCTTTTTGTTTCTCCTCCCTCTTCTCTGTCGTTGAACAAAAAGATTGAGAGAAGCAATTAGCCGCGCTTGCGTGTTCCGCCATAAAAAGAATAGACAGGCTCGACGACGTCTCGAGGGAGGGTCGTAGAGATCAGACGCGAAGCGACTCTCGCGGCCACGCAAGCCGACACCGATACATTCATGGTCCCCGGGGAATCTTCCCTGTTCATCCTCGGTTTCCGTGGTTAGCAAAAAACACGAGGTTATGAATTATTAACCCTCTGCGGGCCGAATTTTTGTTCGTGATTTTAACAGAATCTATGCAGTACAAAGTTAACCCTTTGAGGACGAAGATTGTTGAATAACCTTTTGCAAATTCTGCTAAATTAACCCTTAGCACTCGAGGTTGTTTTTTAATCTAGCAACTGCGACTAATTTTTATACTAATTGCTATAACATTTCTTCGATCTATTTTCCTTCTGAGTAGAAAATTTGGATGTGTGGAAAATTGAATAATGTTAGTGTAGTTTCTTTAAGATTCATTCAAATATTTAACATTAGAACTGGAATATTGAAGCCTACAGAGATCAAAGGGTTAAACACTGAACGCTTAAATCACAGAGAATAAGAAAGCTGTGTACTGATTTCTTGCTGTTCGAACAGCTAAATAATTCGTTCACAACTGGGCATTGCAAACACGGAATTTTGATCTCAGCAAAATGCCGACAAATTAGTTTCAAAGAGCATCGTCTGCATCTCACCAAGGAATATTTAATATTTCCAGTGAAAAACATTCGATTGCAAAGGGTTAATATCTCCTGTCTCCAAGCTGAGCAGCAATTTCCCATGAACGGGGAAAAACACCTCGTTGGAAATGTAACAATGACACAGGATTCGCGTAATTCCCTCTGATGGCAGCCTTTAAGGGTTAAATGAACGAAAACACCGTGACATTACTCGTCCCTTTGGCTATTCTCTGTTCTGCTCGGCGAACAAACGACGTCCGGCTGGGAAGTCCCGCGTTACGGGGAAAAGACGTCGCGATAAATACGAGTTACGCGTGGCAGGATTCGCCGTAACGGTGCGTAGACGCGCCCACGTGACATTGTCGTCGGAATAATGCGCGGATCGTAACGAACGTTACGTCGGGAACAGTTACCGCGCCCCTTTGTGAGACCGCCGTGTTCCCACGTGACCGGCGACCCTTCGAACCGCGGAACGAACGTTTTCTGGATACTTGGTAACTTAACCCTTTGAACTCTGTAGACTCCAATATTGCACCAGGAATAATATTAGACGTTTGAATGAATCTTAAAGAAACTACCTTGCAATTATTAGATTTTTCGCGCATCCAAATTTTGCACTAACAAGGAAAGTAAAAGATCTAAGAAATGTTATAGCATTTCCAATTTTCTGAATTTCTAATTCAGTGAAAAAACAGTGAAGAAACGTTGTTTCACTTAACCCTTTGAACTCTGTAGGCTCCAATATTGCACCAGGAATACTATTAGACGTTTGAATGAATCTTAAAGAAACTACCTTGCAATTATTAGATTTTTCGCGCATCCAAATTTTGCACTAACAAGGAAACTAAAAGATATTAGACAGAATGACCGTGAAATTCGTGTCGATTTTATGAACATACAGTGGACGAAATCTTCTAATGGAAACGAGCATGATGAAATGGATCCGACGAAGAAAAAGAGTTAATCGTGTATTCTAGGAATGGAAAGATGCACTTTATGATACGCACCGCGCAATATATTAGCCGTTTTTCCAGCTGAAATTTTATGAATCAAAAACACCGGGAGACGCACTTTAAGCGCGCATAATGGATGCACCGACGCGTACCGTTAATGGCCGACGTTAATGGGAAATTGCATGAGCTTAACGTGGTACTGTATTAATAATTCACCTTACCGGAAGACCATTTATAGACTTCCCATCGTCTGTTCTGCGATAAGAGATGGTTTATTAGCTTCGCTTTAAGCGACGTCGCCGAAAGAAATGGCCCCACGAATCCACGATCGCAATCGTTATTAATATCGAACGATTTATCGCGAGATTCTTCGTATTTTGTAGTATATTAACAGTATATTCATAGAACAATTCACAAGCGTCAAATATAAACCTACGATTTAAGGAAACATGAGATTCAGTAATTCTAGAATTCTAGAATTTCGGGATGTAGCAGGTCAACCCTTTGCACTCGACAGTTTTTCCCTAGAAATATACATTTTTCAGCGAGATATGAACGACGTTCTCTCAGACTGACAAATGAGGAAATAAAATTAAGGAACTGAGCTATTTCATTTGAATATTTTACATATTGCTGTATTACAGAGCATAATATTGTATATAAGACGATAGGTTTGATGTATCGAATGGTGACCTCTCGAGTGCAAAGGGTTAACACTAGAACTACCAGTCAAAGTGTAGTATACAAAAATGTAGTCCAGTATACAAAATTCAACGATAAATTCCAAAGAATAATTTCGCCGTAGCTCGCGAGCGAGCGAACGTCGAAAAGTGCACGCCGACAGCGCGTGTCGGTATGCGCTAGGATTTTTGCCGGGGCGCCGCGATTATGACACCGGTGAACGCGTCGCGATTCCGGTTGAAACGCGACTCCCCGGCTCGCGGCTCAAGGTTAACCCTGGTCGCTTGTGTGTGTCGTAGGCCAAGGTGCAGCAGCTCTACAAGCTGGATCGTTTGCTCCAAGAGGAATCCGGAACGCTGCACAGTCTTCAGCAGGACAAGGCAAGTGACGCGATCGGAGTGCTACGCGAGCAGCTCGTCGCGAAAGGATCGGCTCGCGATTATTTCCGTCGTTTCTCGTTTCTTCAACCGTGTTTCGTGGATATCGTTGCGCAACGTGGTGCCGTAACGGACGGGCGTTAGTGGAAGCTTCGCGTGGAATTTTTGAATGAGCATAGAGTGAGGATCGATCGTTTCGAAAGGAATTCGTTTGGTAATGGAAATTGGAGTACAGTTTTCTGCGATGGAGATTGATAGATTTTGGGGGTTTTTAGTTTTAATGGGTAATCGTGTGGGCTTTTGAGGGATGGGTGGCTTTGAGGGTGCAGTTTTTTGGAGGGTTTCGAAAGTGAGCAGTGATTGGGCGTCACTTTTGAGGATATTAACCCTTTGCGGATGATTCTTTGAAATATACGAAACCTTCTACATATGAAGCTAATTTAGATATCAATTGTTTAATTAATAGAATGAAAATTACGTGATCTCTTGCTATTCAACTAATTAGATCGTTTGTCTACGACTTAGTCTTTCAAATTTGAACATTTCACGCTGAAGTGCCGACATCCGTCCGTAAAGGGTTAAAGGGTCTTAAATATTTATAGATGGTTTGTTTACGTTGATATGGATATATGATCTTTGTTGTTTTTGTGATGTTTAATAATTTTCTGGATATATGATTTGTAGAGATTTGATACTAAATATTGACAAGGTCTTTGATTAGACGAAATTATAGCTAGAAATAGAAACAATTGTAAAGAATAATGCTCGGTAATAATGTCGACTGTACTCTGATGATCATTGATACCTACTCTGACTCTTTGACTGCGACACTAACGCTGCCGTTAAAGATAATTTACGAAATTCATTTATAAGACAATATATCAACACTCTACGAAATACTGCAATATTTCGTTGCAAAGATTCGAATAGCCAAATGAAATCAACCTTACAAACACCTTCAAACACAGGAGATTTTAGACCTAGATTATATTACGACACTTACAATACAATATATCAACACTCTACGAAATACTGCAATATTTCGTTGCAAAGATTCGAATAGCCTTATCAAACCAGCCTAACAAACACCTTCAAACACAGGAGATCTTAGAGAAAGCGCTCGGCGGTCTGCGGCACAAGCTGCAGGGCAGCAGGAGCAACTTGGCGGAAGCCGAGCGTTACCGGAAGCAGCAGCTGATGCTCGAGCGGGAGCTGAGCAGAGTGAGGGTGTTGCTCGCGCACAATTCCAAGGTACGTCCCAACAAACCCCACAATCACCGATTCAAACACACAATCTCAATCCAAACACTGAAGCTGAAGCGAGCAATGCTGCATTCATCACCGAAAACAGGACTGTCTCCCGTGTCTCCAGTGTTTCGATCATTCCACTAACCACTTAACTAATTAGCGACCATTCCTCCTAAACGAGCGAAACACGCGTCTAAAAAGGAACCGCTGATTCCGACGAGCGCCAATGAAATCATCCATCTAAAGTCTCAAAGAAACCTAGCTCTAGCCAAAGGCAATGCTCGTGACGACTCGAATTTAATGGGACTTCGTTGTTTGCAGGTAGAGCCGGTATTCTTCCAGGTAAATGAACCAAAGCACAGAATAACCGTTCTCGTTTCGTTGCGTCCACCTTTTCTCTTGCGTTCCCCATGGTTTTCGTTCCGTTCACGTTCCGTTCTGTTCGTTCGTCCACGTGCCGCGACACAGCTTCTCGCAGCGATCCTGTTGCTCGAAAATGGCGTCGAGTGGTGAACGCTCCGTTCCGTTTCTGATTCGCAGAAGCTAGAGGAGACGGTCGCCGAGAATGCCAGGCTGGAGCAGGACCTGGTCGTGCTCAGGCAGAAGCTGCAGGCCTCGAGGAGGTACGCCGGCAACATGGCCAGGGACACTTCCGCTACCACCGGTCCCCTCGAGGCGGAGCTCAGGAGAGTTCAGCAGCTGGTCGGCGACCTTCAGAGGCAACGGAAGGAACTCAGCGTGCAGGTCAGGCAACTGACCGAGAAGTCGCACAGCTTGGTGCAGCAGATTCGACCGCAACCACCGTCGGGTGAGTGTTCTCAGTTCACTGTTTGCGTCAGTGGATTCTTTGATGGTTACTGTTACCTTTCACCCTTTGCGTTCTGAATTTTGCATTTTTACTGGAGGATTTGGTATTGCGATATTTGAAATGCATCTGAACGAATAGACTTTCAATAGTTTAGATATAATATAATTTAATATAAAATAATATCATATAGCAGCTCCGCAAGTGCACCAGCCGAAGAAGAGGACTCAGAACTCCTGGCTGGAGACGGATCTGGACTCAGGGATCACTCTGGACCACGGTCTGGACTCGCCCTCGAGTCCCGCTCCGTCGACGTCGCCGCGCGGCAAGCAAAATGGCGTCCCCTATCCTCAGTTCAGCTCGCCGACGCAGATGAAGGACTCGTCGCCGACGAACCGCCAGCAGAATCATCAGCCCTACGTCCAACCGATGCAGAACCATCAGCCGTACTCGCAGATGCCGCAGAATCACATTTCGACGCTGTCCCCGCAGCTGCGCGAGCAGATACAGCAGCATCAGCTGAAGCAGCAACTGCTGAAGGATCAGATGCAGGGCAAGGGCAGCTTGATGCAGGTGAACGTCGCGCCGTTGTACGTGAACACGGACACCAGGGCTCAAGGTAACGGTTCATGGAGAATTTTAACGCATTGACCGCCGGCCCTGTGGAAACGCGGAATTCTGAGTCGCTTGATGTTGTTTCATTGAGTGGACTATAGTAATTCGATTTGGTTGGGGGTCACCGGTGACCCCCGTGGCATTCAACGTGTCAATCTTTGACTTTTAGAGTAAAAATACACGAAAATAAGCATAAAATTCGTTTCTTTTTCTACCGAATGAATAAAAACTGAATTATTGAGAGCAAAGTACAATAGTGAACTATAGTAATTCGGTTTAGTCGGGGTCGCCGGTGACCCCCATGGCAGTCAAGGTGTTAACCCTTAGCACTCCAGGTTGTTTTGTAATCTACCAACAACTGCAACTAATTTTTATAGTATTCCTAACGAAAATTCGAAATGATACATTTCTTCGATCTTTTATTCTCCTTCTGAGCACAAAATTCGAATGCGTGGACAATCGAATAATTTCAGGATGGTTTCTTTAAGATTCATTAAAATCTATAATATTAACTAAAAGTGCAATGACAACAGCATCCACGAATCTTCCAGAAAACAAGCTCGACGAGAAGTTACCTAACGGGACGCCGATCCCCGCGCCGGAATACGTCCCGCCCCCGCCGCCGCCGCCACCCTTAAACGAGGAGGCACTGGGGAATGATAATTACCGGCTGAACGAGGACAACAAGTTCGCCGGTGAGTGAAATGAACTAATTGCCCGACAGACCCGACAGGCCCGCGGCCAGTCTGTCGCAACGCGCGGTAGCTAACCGATGTCCGTGCTCGATCTAACGTGCGATCTATCGTGTTCCGCGAAGGCTTGATGCACAACCGTGAGAAACAGGAGATCAAGACCGTGCGAATCGTGAAACGAGAATCGGAGAGACGGCAACGCGATCGAGGCGATAGGACCGGGAACATCGGGATCCCGCTGACCAACGGGCTGCAGGCACCTGGCGGCGCGAAGAGACTGTGCGACGATGATCTGGGCGGTTCGCAGAAATTCGAGGTAATTGTTCAGCGATTTTTATGCGGATGAAATCGATCGAGGCTTTTTGAAAGTTCACTCACGTTCTTCTTGAGATACAGACGACTGTTTGAAACTGATTTAACGATAATTCAGAGGTAGATTGAGCAATGAAGATAATTTATTTAAATATTTCATATAGCAATACATGCTATATTAAATATAGCAATAGATTGAACCCTTTGCACTCGGAAGTTTCTCACTAGAAATGTTCAACTGATTTCATGCGATAAATCTGTAAAATTTGATGTTTAATATTACATCTTCTCTGACGCGTCGATCTGAGAAATATTGAAAAACTTCCGAATGCAAAGGGTTAAAAATCGATTCGTTAGTAACGATCCAAGTAACATGACACTGAAAGCCTCAGCTCAACGATCGTTTCAAAGACTCTCGCCTGTTCTCTGAGGTCATGTAATTCGACGACAGCGTGGAGGGGTTGACAATGCAAAAAGCATTGACGACTCTAGAAGCATCGTCTATTCTCGATCGACTTACTTTTAGAAGGCCCAGTTGGGAAGGGTGGTGGAGGAATCGCCGATGATTCACGCGCAGAGCACGGTCCAGCTGACGGATTTGGACGACGTGCAGTTCCAACGGAGCATGTCCCTGCCGCGCGGTTTCGGCGGCCAACGGCAGCAACAGCCCGAGATCCATCAGGGTCCGGTGGTACCACCGCCGAGGAGCGACAGTATGCACGCCCTGAGGAGCATGTTGGCACGACGAAACAAAGTCAGGGTGAGTAGCTTTCACGATCAACCCTTAGTTGCCACTTGGTCCAATCCACATGGGAACTTTCGGATATCTTCGTGTGAAGATCAAAGATTTCGCTAGCATAGCTTATCAAACTGAATGAAATAATGTTACTGAAACTTACTATGAAATCTAATTCATTCGGAGTTTCTAATAGAATCAATCGAAAGTTTGATCTTAACACGAAAATACCGAAACGAGACCTAGCAGAAGAGAGCTCGGTACCCTCTACTTCTGAATATTCTTTCTAAAACACGGAATCTGCTCCACAAGGGATCAAGCTTCTCTAGACAGTAGGGTAAACTAAAGGTAACCTGGTAAACGACATAAACACATCAAATCCATCGGATTAATCCATCTGGACTAGAACTCCTGTTTCAACGCGTCATCACCTGCTTCGCTCCCTCCCCATCGCACTTCATTTTATTTCCTGCCATTTTTTATTTAGTCCTTTACTCTAAAAAACAAAATCTGCTCCGTAAAGGATCAAGCTTCACTTACAATACAATAAACTAAAGGTAACTCGGTTCTAAACGACATAAACCCATCAAATCCACCTGAACTAGCTCAACTCCTGTATCAACGCATCATGCTTCGCTCCCTCGTCGCACTTTATTTTATTCCGTCCATTTTTTATTTAGTCCTCTGCTCTAAAAACCAGAATCTGCTCAACAAAGAATCAAGCTTCGCCAAACAAAACAATAAACTAAAGGTAACCCGGCAAACACCGACAAACCCATCAGATCCATCAGGACTAGCTCAACTCCCGTCTCAATCTGCTTCCCTCCCCGCACTTCATTTTATCCCCTCGATTTTTTGTTTACCAAACGACGCAGTTCGAAAGTCAGGACGGCAGCTCGGACAGCACTTTGTCGCCGTACACGGAGAGCCTAGGCTCGAGCTCGCACGCGGCGATCAGCTCGCCGAATTACTCGACCAGCCCGCCCTACAGTCCGTGCCATCAGAATTACCCCGGCCAGCAGATGTCCAGGCCCAACCATCATCAAGTCCAACAGCAGCAGCAGCAACAGCAGCAGTACTACCAATACAGACAGTACGAGAGCCCGAAAACGGAGAGTCCGCTGGATCATCCGATCAGCCCGGAATTACCCGCGAAACCGGACGCGCAGGAGAGACAGTTCGGATCCACGTTGACGGTGAACACTTCCTGCTCGCCGCAGTTGTCGCCGGTGTTCAAGAGCGAGGCGGCGAAACAGATCATCAAGGAGATGACGGAGAAGAAGGTCGAGGGGCCCAGGCGGCGGCAGATCCCGCGCGAGAAACGCCGCCATTATACCGTGTCCAGTAGCAAACCCGTCCTCGACTTAGAAGACACGTTCTCGAAGATGGTATTTTGTTTTCTTTTATTTTGCGTTTTCGATCGGTCGTCTTTCTTCCGGGCTTTCACTGGGGGATTTCGTTCGTTGCCCGATTTCTTCGGTTTCAGTTCGATCACGTTTCGTTCGGGTACCCTCGCCTCATCCCGATGCGGAGTGTATCGTAGAAACGATGGAATATCGTGCTGATATGTTGATTCAGTCTGTGTATATAATGAAAGATTCTTTGGGTATACAGGTCTCGCACTTGGGAGTCATCCTGCTGATGAAATCCATTTTGCATGTCGATTCGCCATTTTGTAGGGGAATTTTATATGTGCATTCAACCCTTTGCACTCGAGAGGTGACTCTCTCGCCACTTGATTTGATAGAGTAAAACTATAGAATGAGATATTTAACACTAGGTGCAAAGGGTTAATTAAGTAGTAGGAAATCGAACATTTTATTGCAAAGGTGTATAGTATGTACTGCCGCCATCTTGTCCAATTCGTGTCAGTTTCGATAGAGTAGATTATAACCGAAGGAAATTAGAATCATGTGTTTGTTCTCGAAAAGAATTCGTCTCTAAGGAGATTAAGATGTTACGAAAGGGTTAAATAGAGTGTTGGAATTAACTTTGAGATTTAATGGTGTCGAAGTATGTTGAATTATGATGAGAGTTGAAGAGACGTTGGACGGATGATAAGAAACGAGGTGTTTGGTTTCTACAGGGAATGGGCAGAGCGAGGGATGACCTTGACATGGAACGCGCGCTGAGGCCAAGGATCAACGCTCCGGATGTCGTTAGGTCGACGTTGAGCCACAAGGAACTCAAGTACAACGAGAGCACCATCGATCAGCTGCTCGGCACGCCGAACAAGATCGTTATCCCTGAGAGATACATTCCTGAGCAGGTAAACTTCGTTGCTTGTTCGCGAATTTGCAAAATTGTAGGATAATATTGATGTAAAATATCAAGCTTTGAAATTAGCGTTGACATTAACATTGAATCAGACGATTTTATTAGGGAAGTTCTGTCGTTCAGTGGTTCTTTTTTATTCCAGACGCCAGAGTTAACCGCGGAGGAACAAGAGCAACGATTGAAGAAGGCGGAAGCGATCAGGAAAATGCTGTCCGAGACAACGGTGACCGCGTCAGATGGAAATGGTAATCATATTTACGTTGTGTCATCGATGTAACAAAAATATAATATATTATATATTATATTTAAAATTACACTGCAATCACAATACCTAAATCTATCACATCTACTAAATCAATTGCATTACAATATCAATTAATACATGTCGATGAACTTTGCTAAATGACAATATTAACGTCGAACAATTTATTACATTATATTTATATTATATTTGAAATTCTACTGCAATCAATACCTAAACCTATCACATCTACTAAATCAATTACATTACAATATTAATTAATACATGTCGATGAACTTTGCCAGATGACAATATTAACGTCGAACAAGTCATTATATTATATTGATATCATATTTATATTATATTTGAAATTATACTGTAATCAATATCTAAATCAATTACATTACAATATCAATTAATACATGTCGATGAACTTTGCCAGATGACAATATTAACGTCGAACAATCAGACAACTTGAAGAGGAAGGTGGTCGAGGAGAAACGCCAGAGGGATCACATACTCCAGCTGAATCAAATACTGGCGAAGCAAGTCATGGAGAAAAGTAAAATGGTAGCTGGTACGTTCGACGCCATTCTTCCCCCCGTGTTCCGTTCGATTCATTATGCATGAATCTAGCAAACCGACAGCATGACCGATGTGTAGAGTGGCTTCGTTTGCGCCTTCTGCTTCTTTAGTGCAGAGGGCTTGCGCTTGTAAAATTATATCCTCTTTCGTTGTACATTATTCTACCTATTCGAGCGAAGCTGATCGATCTTCCTAAATTAATTCAATCATTTCTAAAATTTATTCATCCAATTCGAATTCTAAACATCTGTATACTTAACGTTTTATTTTATTTTATTTCTTCCTTTTTTTCAAAAAAAAGAATCGTCAGTTTTTAACACTAGAACTACCGAGAATTTAATACGATTAATATGCAATTCCCCTAAAAATTGTAACGATAGATTATTCTCAGTTTCTTCAGACATTCATTATAGTACTGAAATGAAACTATTTGTTTTTAAAATCATTTCGAATATTCGATGCTTCGAAGACATCAATAATTGCTAAATAAAATCGAAACCAGTCATTTTGACTGGTAGTTCTAGTGTTAACCCTTTGCACTCGGTAGTTTCTCACTATAAATATTTAACATTTTTCGAGACAAAGACGATATTCTTTGAAGCTAACTCGAAGCGATAAAGTTATTTATTCCAATATTTCACGTATCGAGACATTATACAAAGTTCAACATTGAATATCATCTATTATAATTTTGCGTTGAATCAAGTGACTGAGAGTCATCACCCGAGTGCAAAGGGTTAATAATCCTTTGAAAAAACAGGGTATCTCTTACTCACGCGCGTTATAATTATTGTTATCGAGGTTCTAATTAATTTCCGTGGACGCTTTTAACGAAGTTTTATACGATAGTACCATCATAGTTAGAGAGTGTTGTTTGGATTGTTTGTGCTGTGTATAGGTAACCAGGCACACTGACTGACATGCTTTCTCCATCCTCCCATATAGGACACGCACATCATATTATCGTTTTTCAGGTTTGTTTATATTTTTTCTTTCATTTTACTTCATATTACCCACATTCTCATACGTTCGACCTTCCACCGATGTTCTTTTTCTTTTGTGTTTTAGTGTGGACCGTTTATTAATGTATATTATATGTATATCTGATATATACATACTCTAACTATATAATATTAAGCACGTTAACAAAGATTTTTGTCAACACTAGAACTATCACATTCGACAGAAATTTCCATCGTTATTTTATAAATATTCTTGCAATCCTTATCTCGAAACTCTTAATATTAAAATCACGTCAATAATAGTTCTAGCATCAAAGATCAAACAATTAGAATCGAAAATCAAAGAAGAATAATTATCCTGTCTATTCCACTTTATCTCAACCATAAATTAACCGTTCGATTCGCTCCACAGTGAAAGCCTTGGCCACGCTTCCTCTAAAAACCGAATCGAGCTTAGAAGACGAGGACCTCTCGCCAGTAACGCCATTGCCACTCTACCAGCAGAGGGAGAATTATTACTCGTAAGACTAAAGCATCCCCCGTGGGCACTACCAAAACAA